GCTGCAAATTCAGTTTCTCTCTCCCTTCCTCCCCGAAGGCTAGTATGCCTAAAGCAGTAAAGTCTCACTGATCTCAAAGAAACTGAGATAGGCTTGACAATTACTCCCTGTTATGAAGACCTCCAAGGGACCCCAAATGGAGCAATGGAAAAACTGGTCAGGCTTGTGTCTTTAATAACAGATAGCTCTTCATGGTTTTATGTTAGGCAAGAGTAATGATTACCAGGTAACTAGATCATTCAAAGGGATACTTGCTTTCAGGTACAGAAGTAGGATAGGTAATGCTTATGTACACTGTGTTTTTTATACCTAGGATTTACTTGTTTCCTGCAGAGGATATGTTGTAAATGGAGCAAAAACCAAGCTCAGAATACAAAGTGGGAACCCTTGCTTTTTAAAATTCCTAAATAAAAAATGCAGAATGGGGCATTATCAAGCAAGGAAACCAAAACAAGAACTTACAGTGAATATCTTACCAATTCTCTCTCAGATGATGTTTGCATTATTTTGTTGTTATGATTAGGGGTAGGGTTAGATTTCACATCCAAAGACACCATAATTTGAGGATGGTATTCATAATTTTGAGAGTATTCTTATACTTTGCAAAAAGATCTGTTTCTAAATTTTAAGAAATATTTGTCCTGGTTTTACTAGAAGTGTATTCATTTGTGACAGAAAATGTGACATGAATTCAGAACAATATTTCAAACTATTTATTTATATATCTGACAACAAAATTAGTAGTACTTAAATACTTATTAAAACTATGGAAAAAATTAAATGTTGATTTATAATTCTTTTGTTCAGAAATTAATAAACATTTTTTAACAGGTTACTCTCAAGGGAATAGTGGAATTTTGCATTATGCTCATGGAGACAGTCAAAAAACACTCTTAATGCAACAAGGTATGATCTTTATACATTCATGATGGCATTTGAGTTGAGTGAGAGTCAAATAGAATATTAAAGTATGTGTTTGGCTTCAATTTGTAGGAAGAACATCACTTAGTGTTGGAGTGTGTACTGGGAAACGCCCAAATCCAGAAGAAGGAATTCAGAGCATTGGTCCAAAAGTCCAGCGACAGAGCAGTAATTAATGGGGTAAAACTGAGTTGTGAAGGAAATGGTTGATAAACTACATTCTAGTCTCACAAGGAGAAACTAAGCATGCCTGCTGCAAATTTGGGAGCATAACTTCCTGTGAAGAAGTGGACCAAACACCATTGCACCTAAAATCCTGTTTGGCAGTGGCCAAGAACTCCCTGCCATTAATTTCATACTTCTAGCAGTCATATAAGCTTATCCTGAGTGTGACTTGTATTGTCAGTTTAACTGCACCTAGTTTCTATTTTTCCATTACATTGTGAATTAATGTGGTTTTTTTTTTTTGAATTTGCTGAGAGAGAAAAAACATTTACTTGAAACCTACTAGTCATTTGTGTAACATCTTGGGTAATGGGCAGTATTTATTTTGTTTTCTTTAAAATATTTGTTAATTTTTATGCACACCAATTTATTTTTATACTGGGAACTTTTAAAAAAATTATTTCATCTGTTGTAATTTTCTACAAATGACTCTTTTCTTTCCCCTAAGCTTTTGTAGCCTAAGCAGTTTGGTATTTTTCCCATTTTATATTCATTTTTTCTCCTTTCCCTTAAAATAGATTATCTAGATGTGTTCAAGCTAATCTATAATTACATTGCACACGGATTTATCTGTGTAGCTTGGAGTATTTTTTTTTCTTTGGACTTGTAAGTTCTTGTATCAGAAGCAAACCTACCAGTTTAGAATAATTAGCCATGTATATTCTCAACATCTTTTGTTCAGAAAAAGCTTAGGCTAGGCTTCTTGAACTTTGGGAAGGAGTGTGATTCCTAAAGCATTCTGAACTAATGGCATCTTAGAAAAGATGAAGAGCTTAGACCATTAAAAAGCTCCCTCTTTATCTCTTGGATAGATGTCAAGAAAAGTTAATTCAATATTTATTGCCGATTTTTTACCATCTGGCATACAACAATGGAATAACCTGTTTTCTAGCATGGTACAGGTCCAAGATGCTGACATGTACCTTGATGCCCATCAAGCATACTACCTTTTTTTTTTTTTTTTAAAGGGAAGATAGCATGCTGCAGAACATCAGCTTCAGGCATAATTTCTGTCTCTGTGCTTGATATACAGAGGCATTCTTCACAAATAAAATAATGGAAGGCTACAATGCATTGCTTTGTTACTTTCTGGTATATGGATATCTTCTGATTGACCATACCCATTATTGTAACTGATTTGTGAGAGTGCCTGTAAAATGCTCTCAAAATTCAAATGGGCCCACTATCCCAGAAAGGTTTGTGACCCCTATTGGTTGTATTTCTGTTTTATACCTAAAATAATATAGTCATAAAGAGTTGCTTCAGCAGTTCTATAGCTCTGTAATGTAGCATAACCCAGTATTACGGACTTAATATGTTAACAGACTTTACTGACATTGCCTCTGCTGCAAATTCAGTTTCTCTCTCCCTTCCTCCCCGTTATCTAGTTAATAGCATCCATTTGTCCAGTGCTATATCTGTGTTTTTTTTTCTTACTGCGTATGTGCTCAATTCTTGATTTCAGTATTTGAAATATGTCAGTATTTGCCTTTTTAGTCCAAAGAGGTTAACCTTTTGGTTGCTGCAAACATATAGACCTTAAAGTTTATTTGTGAAAATTATTTTGATACAGCATTGCGTGGAACCAGTAAATTTTAAGTTAACAGTTCAAGTACTTCAGTTTGGTATAAGACATTAGTCTAATGCCTTTTTAAAAACAGTTTTTTTTCCTATTTGTAACTGTAATAAGTTCCCAAATTTTTCCTCTGCTCAGCTTTTATAGCAAATGTTCAGCTGCAGTCTTATTCATACTTACATGCGTGTAAATCCAGTTAAACTCGTTGGGGCTTAAGGCATAGATGTACACAGGACTGTGGTATTTTTTAACATATGTAATTTGGTGCATGGGCTCCTTTTCATTCTTGACTTTGTTGCCATTTAACATTCTGTTGACACATGTTGTTAACTGCTTACTGAAATCCCTGTATCTATTTCCTTTGCCTGTTTTCTGCTTCTTTTTGTCTTCCACTCCCCCACCACCACCTTTGGATTTGTCATTGTTAAAGACACCACATTTTGGAATTTTATAGCATCTTACAGTCCAACTTTTACCATCTGCCAAATATTACAAAGAGAGAGCATTTGTATTTTTAGTTACAAAGCATATAACTAAAAATAATTAAAAACATACTTCGCTAACTACTAGATAATCTTTCAGACTCAATAAGCATAGGAACTAATTTCAATATTAATTAGCAAAATGTATTAAAAAGGTTTCTTGAATTATTTCCTAATGGATTGATTTATTTTTGTCTTACAGCATTGCTGAAAGGGAAGGATCCACACCCTAAGTTTCAGTTTTTGTGAGAGTGCTTGTATTAAAATACGCATTTTCATACATTTATTTTCACACCATCTGAACAAGTATGAATTTTTGGACTGTATTGTTTCTAACTGGCCTTTCTATGGTTTTTAAAATTTTAAAAGACTTTCACTAAGAACAAATCGAGATTTGTAAATAAAGCGTTTGACAATGAGTTTAGTAGTAATGTAAATACAAGCATTCATGATTAGTGATATTCATCTATTTTTGATATTTCATGTATGGCTTTCATAGGTTTCATAGATGGATATAAAATAGAAAACATCTCAACTACAATGTTGGTCCTTTTTACATCTTTTTTTTTTTTTATTAATTTGGAACAGAAGTTTTGACCATGATCCAGGCTCTCACTTTTCAAATGCCTTCTTATTTGCCAGTGTATAAAATATACAAAAAATGTTACTTTTTGAAAACCAACTGTATATAAATCCCTTATGTCAATATTTTTGTTAAAGTACAAAACTGTCATGAAATGTGTTCCAACCTTGTGTTTCCCACTGCCTTTGTGCAATCAGTGAGGATGCTCTGATTAATAAAAATGTATATATATAGATTATTTCACCTACACCTAATTTTGGGGAGTAGATTCATTGTCGGAATCAGTTGTTTTCATAGAATGAGCCCTTGTACAATGGTCTTGTTTATAGCTTTTGTTATTTTTTTAAAAAGCTGGAAGCTTTAAGCAGTGCTTATGATTTGAATTTCTCATCACCTATTAATCTTGTGGAAAATTCAGAAGTACAGACCACAACACTGAGGAAAATAACCATGTTTATGGCAACAATTGTTGGGTGCCTATTTTACAAGAAAGACGGATGCTGAACAATGGGAAAGCAAAGATTTTTATAAAAATCGAAGGCTACGAGGCAAGAAATCCTAAAGATCTGATTTGCTGCCAGTTTGGGGAAGTTAGACAGGTCCTTGTCCCCGTACCTGGGGTTACTTCTGTTGTTAGGCAGAGTGGCTTTTTCAGGGGTAGCAGCAGAGCTGGGGAAGTCTAACTCCTCTGTTGAGGTAGAATGTTGAGGTAATCAGGCTGATTGAGGATGGAACCTTAGGGTTTCTCACCTTTACAATGCTGCAATTCCCTTATTAGGGCTGCCCTTGAACTGTACTAGGAGCTGGTGAGGAGGCTTCTATTCTATTCTTTGGTTTAGATGGGATTGCAGGGGGGTTGTCTGGGTGCAGGGTCCATTTGGGTCTGATAGGATTAGACAAAGAGAGGAGCTGAGTTTGACCCTGGTCATGTCCAAAAGGGAGGAAAAATCTCCATTTTGTTCATTAGATTTATTTTCTCCACTACATTCTTGGACTAATATTCATATGAAACAGGTTTCCATACATTTGTGGCAGAACTCTTGGTTTAATTAACAGAGCTAACAATTATTTTCTTGTGTAAAAAATATTATTTCTATCTATATACTACTAAAACTATCATGTCTGTAACCTCCAACTGGGCAAAACGGTGTGTCATAGGGCAACAATTTTTGAGCCAAGATACCTCGAATGGGCTAACTTAGAGAATGCATTCAAAATCCAGGATCCATTACTCCTCTGGGATTGAAATTTGGGAAATTTGTGGCCGCTTCAGCACTACTGTGCTGCCACACTGGTACAGTCAGCCCAGGTCATGTGATTGTCATGGGCATATCCCCGACCTCTTTCCTGCCTCCCTTTGTCCCCCGTGCCCAATTGGCTGGTGGCAAGGTACGATGGGTGAGTGGCAATTGGCTGCTTTGGAGACAAGGCAGAAATTTGAAATCTCTTAGTGATGGGTGTTGAGGGAAAGATGAGGGAGTGACTTGGATGCCTGTTGGCGAGGTAGGGCTGGCACGCTGGTGGTCGACTGAGTCCTCTTCCTCCCTTGAGGGAGGGGACTGTTGGGGACATGCCAGAATGGGGATCGGGAGTGCAGTTTCCCTCACGGTCTGTGGCTCCCTTTGTTCCACCTCCCCCCAGCAAAGTGACAGGCAGTTCCACAGGTCAACCAAGGGAGAGGAGGAAGCTTCACCAGGGCTCTCCTGAGGGTCATGAGGGGAGGGCAAACAGTGCAAGCCCACATTATATGTGGGTGGGAGGCAGGAAGGAAGGATTCTTTGCTTCCCACAAGCAAAGTCAGTGGAGAAGCCAGCAGCAAGGCATAAGTTGCTCATAGTCCCACTGCTTTTTTGCCCTTGGTCATTCTGTTTCTCTATTTAGGTAAGGAAGTGTCTTTGAAATGAGGACCCAATGGATCACAGGTTGTCAAGTAGCAAGATATAAGGAGAATCTGCTTCCATTGGTAGGTTGAATGCCTGGAGCCATACTGTCTTCTGAAATAAAGTCTCACACCATGCTACACTATCCAGAGTACTTATGTCACACACAAGGTGCAAATAAGAATACCCGTCTTCATATTTTGCCGTATTCCTTACATGTTACGACTTCTAGAGGTGAATTCTCAGCAGATGCTCTGAAGTTTATTTCTTCCACCTGTTGCTGAAGTTAAGTTTCTATAACATGTCCTTTACATATCTGTCTTCTATCTTCATTCTTATCCCCTTACAATGGAACTCCCTAGTACTGCCAAAACAGTTGTGCTACTCACAGAAAACATACTACTATGATATTAGGTATCACAGTTGCATCACAATCCTGTAATACTTATTTCCAAAGGAATGGTTGAAATAGACAATGTCCTTTCCATAGCGGGCCCATGCAAAAAAAGTTGCAATGGTTATTAGGTTTAAGTACATACATGTTTAACATAAGAAATGATAGATTTTCTTTTTTACTTCTAGAATTGAGAAAAGCCAAAACTTGAATTTATTGGGGATTATGGACATAGCAAGCTAGGACAGCTTTATACTGTGTATGGGGGGAAGCAATATCTAGGGCCTGTGCTTAAATAGCTGATCTATGAAATTGTTATCTCTTACAAAAGCTGCAATGGGATGGGATAGATAAGGTGGCACTACAACCAGGAAATGTGTGGCAAGTAGTTTAGGGAGATGGATAGACAGCTCTGCAGAAAGGTAAGTTAGTGGCATTTCACCATGTCATGTGTGAAAGTCTGGAGCCGCAGGTGCTACAAAGCTTGCTACAAGACAGTTCTTTTAAGATGAGGGGCAGAAAGAAGCACGAACTGAACTGTGTTGCAGTTTTGTTTCTATTTTCCAAACCCCAATGTTGGCTGCAGAAAAATAGAATATGTGAAAACACACTAGGCTGAGATTTATTGCTATCCCTGCAAATATGCAAGATAGAGGGATAAAAATAAAGTGAACACAAATTGTTAAGAATTAACTTTCAAATTTTATACACCTTTCCTGAACATGAAACAATTTTTCAAAGCACAAAACTTCCGACCATTTTGTAAATGTTTCAAGTGTAGAAAGTCTTGCACTCTGAACAGAGCTGTTTTCAAGCTTGAAGTATTTCCAAAATGCTCAAAACCACCTATTTCACTTCAGATGGGTTATTTTGGAAAGAATATGGAGTATTTCAAATGTAAAGCACTTCAGCTTGAAATTATTCTAAGTATTATACAAGAAGAAACTTGCTGACAGTTATTTAACCTGCAGATGGTGCTCTTTTTTTCTGTCACTCTTTCCTTAGAATAGCCTAAATATTTGAAAATAGCAGGCATGGAGAAAATGCTGATTAATGTATTAATTTATACTTTCACAATTCTACATTCTTCTGACAAAAGAATTAGTTTTGCAGTTGTGAAATGTTACTAACCAGTTATTATTGTGACCAGTAAACCATGTGAACTTTACCTGCTTATATTTTAAGTTATTCTTCCATCATTCATTGTAATTTTGGATTATGCCAAATTGCTCATAATCACTAAATCCAAATGATTATCAAACATATATCCAAAGGAGGAGTAGAATGCTTTTAAGATCTTACAAATTATGAGTTTAGTAGGTGCTCAAATATACTATGTTACCTGGGGTTTGTATAAATTCATAATTCTTCCTGATACACACACCAGACATTACAAGATTTCTGGAGAGTCAATGTTACTTTTGTTTATTAGGGCTGTGCAAGCATTTGGAAGAGGTGTTTGACAGTAGCACAAAGTAGCTAAATTTGTGAGGTTGGATCAGTTAGTCTTTCCATTCTTCTTTCTAAGAGATTACTGTAAAGTGGAGGATCAGGCTGGATAATCTGAAAGACCTTCCCGTTTAAGTTATTTTATGTTCGTAAAAAAGAGGACTGAGTGCCAGTTGGGTATAGTGGTTGAAGGCACTGGGGTAGAATGGGAGAGACAGAGTTCTATCTTAGACACAAAATCTAAGTGACTTTGGGCAGTCACTCTCAGCCCTAGAAAGAAGGCAGTGACAAATCACTTGGGAAAAATTACTCAGAAGATTAAGTCTGCTACGTTTATCTACCTTGTCAGAATAGTCAATGGGCAAGTCTCTTCCTCATGGGTCTGGCTAGGTGGCAGCAGCTAGCAAACTTTGACTGATTTCAAACTACTAAGAAATCCCAGAGCTGTAGGCTAGACTGGAAGGTTGGGAAAAAATCCTGGAAGAAGGTAATGGGAAGCCCCTTCCACAGTGTTGCAGAACTGTCCCATGAAACCAGCAGAAGTCAAGTTTGAGACAATGGAGATTTTCTTTTAACCTTCCCTTATATTGAAGGTTCTCTTAATAGCTGTAGCTTTTCACCTGCTCCCCAGGATATAATGTATTGTCTCTTGCAAAGAAGAAACAAGTTTAGTTCTTGAGGGATGCAAAGATACAGAAAAGCTCAGATTTCAGATCAGGCTTGGAATCAGCTTAGCCTTCCCATAGAAACCTAGTAGTAGAAAGTTTAATGTTTTACATTTCCATTTAATGTTCAATCTTTACGTAAAGCATATCAAACATACCATTAATCTCCAGTGACCTTATGCCATGGAAATTAAAGCCCTGAGAAATCAATTCCCTCTCCCTTGCCCTTGACCATGTGAGAGTGTCACGTGTGGGTGAGGTGGGGAGAGAGAATAAAAATTTCATAGCAAGCTTACCCAGGGAAGTAAGGAAAGTAAAAAGCCTTTGCAAAATTATACCTATTTGACAAACGGCAGAGTCACTCAGCTAGAGGATTGTCCTCTATAAATTAGACTGCTGTTGTGATGGGTGACGCTCGCTGTGGCATCTCCTGGATACTCGGGCAACTCATCTACCGCCAGGAAGATGCAGCAGGCTGTTCAGCAGTCCTGGCATGCTCAAAGAGGAGCAGCACTCAGAGATACTGTGCTGGCGCTCAGCCCACATCCAACTCTCAGTCGCCCTGAGAACTGTAAAGGCCCTGACGGTGGGGGACTGCAGAAGAAATACAGATCTTTTCAGGAGCTCCTTTTCTTGGCTGAAAGGCAAGAGGTGTGTGTAGATACAAAGACATGCCTCGGCATCTCTCATGTATTTGTGCGCGTGTATATTAGTAGCAGCATATATTAATATGTAAGAGCAATTGTGGTTATAGAATTTCTGATCTTACTGTTTATCAGCTTGTCCACAGCAAAGTATTCCTTCCAGTTTGCTAAATAGAGGACTTCTTTGTAGGTGAGATAGCTCTGGTGATTC